TAAAACTGTTAAGAATTTTCAAGGATTCCAAATAAATAAACTGTTTTATAGTAACTATTTGTTAATTATAAATTCTTAACACATGTATGATATCACCTCACATGTATAAATCTTTAAGAATTTTCAATGATTATAAATAAATAAATTACTTTGATAGTACCTATTTATTATCATAAAAATCTATATTTATACAATGTAATATACATACAAGAAGACAGCAATACCCAAAACATAAATAATCCTCATATAATACATCCCTTTTATAAACAGAAATCATACAATTGCTAGACGACTTTTGGTAGGCCACTGATACATACCAAAATAAGGCAGAAGCCGTATGATTTCTTTCGTTCCAAAGTGATGCACTTCTTTGAATTAATTAATTAATTAATCACAAGAAGAGACATATTTGCCTTTACGGGAAGTAAGGAATCGATACTTTCTGCCTTTCAGCCGCCGCCTACATACCTTAGCTTTGTTCCCCAATTAAATTGGAACTATTTTCGTAGGCGGCAAGGACGAAACTCACAAGTCACAACGAACTAAAGCCTATCAGGTAAGCCTAAGGTATGAATCTTTAGGCTTTTATGTATGAGCCAAAGCATTAAGACTATTACTATGACAATAAGGTTTAGTGTATACCCGAAGCAGTGAACACAATTAGTGCTTCTTTAAAACACTTTGCTTAAACCTTATTTTATCGTTTCCCGACGCCGCCGAACACAGGGACATCTAGGTTAATTGTTTAACCCCTTTATATTTTTATTTTCATTAATCTTAATATGTCAAACAACTCAAACAATGAGTTAAGACCCAAGATGTCAGACAACATTGTGTTCTTGCACTGTTTAACGGCTTTAAAGTTTAGACATGATTTTTAACAAGACTGTGAATCATGAAACATACGAATAATCAAACATATGTCTATCGTCTATGTTATCTATTTAGATGCAAGTAGGCTCTGATACCAATTGATAGAAAACAGGTATAAACAGCGGAACCAAATAGCCAGAATCACTTGCATGTAATATAGACAACATATAATCACAGATTTTAATCGAACATAAAATCGATACTTATCTCTTGAAGCGTGGCGACGATCGCGAAAAGACCTTCAAGCAAGAGCGAAAACGTCCACGAGATCATCCTCCAGTTCCACAGTCTTCTGTTGTGTGACCCAAATAATGTCCGGAATTAGCGAAACTCGTGCGGGCAAGTTTCTCCTAGGAAAACCGTGTAGTAAAAACTCTAGCCTCCTTATGGAATAAGATCCCTTTATATAGCCACAAGTTTTAGAGTTTAAAACTTTTTCCTAAACCTGTTGGGTCTTCCTTTTCCACCAAGAAATATGATTTTAATTCTTTATTATTCGGGCACAGCATGAACCGCCGTATTTAATTAACGGGGCTTCCTATTATGGACTTAATTTGAAATATCCGAATTAATACTACCATAATAAATTACGAATTATTCCACTAAAAATTCGTAATTGCACTTCTCAGTTCAATTTAGAAATTCTTCCAATAAACCTTATTTAACTCTTCATGTTAATATTCAAATACTAATCAAATAAATTAAATTACTGGCAATTTAATTCATTGATTATTTCCTTTAGACTTTCGCTTAACTTATTTCATGTGACAGATACAAAATTCACTTGCAGGGTTTACACATGAAAACTTATAAGCTTTCATAAAGGTGTATCATCAATCTCTAGACCGAGATATAGATTTCATCAACTAACTATTATTTCGCCAATGTATATTATTATTATCCAATTTACTAGGCATATTGACCCACGAAAGGATCACGCCTTTCAATAAATCAAAACAATAATAATATACACAACTGATAATAATTATATCAAGATTAAGAGTATACGTACATTTAATGGCTAGAGAGTTTATTTTATTAAGTCAGTATAAAATTCTTATCTCTACTTGGTCCGTTCAATACATACAAAATGTACTAGCACAAGAAGTCAAAATTAAATCATTCTCATAATCAAGATAAATTATATTTAATTTTGTGCTACAATCATTCCTGATGGTTTGTCCAATTCCATCATTAGATTGTTAACATGATCTTTATACTTATAAGAACTGATGATTTAATCTTCCGTGTATAAGCTAAACTCTATACACTAAATCATTTACTATATAAGTAAAGGACACAAACGGACATATGATCTATTCAAAACTTTATTAAAATTGAACAAATAATTATTCCATAATAAATACTATATTCAAACCAAATTTATATTTAATAGTATATATCCCAACAGACACAAGCAATTTGGCCTTTTGATTTCTCTATCTGTCTGTGGCGGAATTTGACTGGAAAATGAGTTTTAAGAAAAAATATATATATATATTTATTATGGTCTAAACCAAGTCATATAGTTTTGTGCGGTTATAAATCGTCTCGAGATTTTCTGAAGCGATAAAATTTCTAGTTTACAATTGGTAAGCAAAGTTGGACATGGCAACAGTTCAGCCATAATCAATAACCGGCAATTAACTAGTGAACTCCTGTGCTTTCTTTTTCTTTTAGATGATGGTGAATTCATGTACTTTTTTGTTTTTTCAAAAAAACAAAAATTAATCTTTAAAATATTATGTCATATAATCACGTTTAACTATGCCTCCTAAAAAGTCTAGCGGCCGCTGCAAATATAATTCGGTCCAAGACTCTGGAGTTAATCCCATAGAGAACTAAGGCTTAGCTACAATTGTTCAATATCGCTAAGAAACACAAGTTCAAATAATTTTCTAGTTTTAAAGATTGTGATTTTTATTTTAAACTAATACTTACAAATTATAGTAGTAAATTATCAACTAATGATACTAAGGGTTGGAGACAAGATTAATAAGGCCTAAAGTTATGATTTTCCCAATTGTCGGAATCCTCATCGCTACGTTTCCTATAAATTCGCCCAAGTATTCTCTACTGATCACGAGTACTTCAGTTGTCGTAATTCTCTTCCGAGGAACTACCATGATTTACTAGACATATTCTTCCGAACTACGTTAGCTGGCACTAGTTTACCGCCCACTAAGATCGCATCAAGGTTTTGTTATTCCTAATCCCACCTTTAAACCCTCTATATTGATTCCTCACATACATTAGGAGTGATGTTGTTCAATAACTACATAAATATATACCATTTTCCAAGTAATACACACTAAATAGGCACAGTCAATTGAGGGTCCTTCAATCAACAACAACAATAACGTAGTTGAATAAGTAGAGAAAAGTCAATGGTAAATTCATATTAAACGTAGTGGAAATCATTCTCCAATAGGTTCCATCAAATCCTAGATGAGAGAGTTTAGCTACTCATAATTGTATAAACAATCATAATAATTTTAAAAGCATTAAACTATATATTAAAGAAGAACGGAAAGAAAACTCTTATGATTCGTTGCTTTCAAGTATTCCGTAGCCTTTTGCCCCTCCAATAATATCTTTCCTCCTAAAAACTAACTTTAAGAGGTATTTATATGGTAGGGCTAAAGTATACACATCCAAAATTAAGGAGAAAACAAAAGTGACTCGGATAAGTATCGTCAGCGCGGAGCATTGTCAGAGGCGCCAAAATACATTGCAAGGCGCCATCAGAGGCGCCAATGTTGATGCCCTGGACAAAGCCTTATACTGTCAAAGGCTGTGACTTTTCATGGCCTTGCAATATCTAAGGCTGGGACGTTTCATGGCCTTGCAATGTCTTCTTTTATTGCTCTATTTTATAGCTTCGAGGTACATTTCGTGCAACTTTCCTCCATTTCATATCCAAGTATTCCTACACGCAAAATAAGCTCAATCAAGCTCAAATATTGTAGGAATTAGCATCCAAACAACAAGCAAGTAAGGTGAATGACGTCAAAATATATGAAATTATAGCACGATATTATCATACCACGTATACAAATTGTTCTGAGTTGACAAATCTTACCACCTTTCAATTGCTTGTGATTTAAAGTGAGAGCTTTGGTATTGATGTTAGTGCCCCTTTCCCAATGAGAGCAAATATGTTTGTATAGTTGCAAAGTTGGTGTAGCCTAACCATAAATTGCATTATTACCACAATATATTGAGATATGCCTAAAATATTAGTATTGTCTACTACTTGATTATAAAGAACTCAATAACAATGTGCCGGATTCATTGAGCCTGTAAAAATCCAAAAAACGAAATTCTAAAAAATCAAGCAAGTTGAAAATAACATAACTAGGCATGAGAATAACAAATCCAATTACAAAAGTTAACACAACCACATTTGTCACAATGGCAAACAAGTTTTGGACAAAACATCGAGCAATAAGAGTGCCAAACAATGGTACCCTGGTAAGTAATAGTATTCCGATGTATGAATTTTTGAACTACAAATTGTATAGCGTTGACATGAGGAAAGTATTAAGCAGTTACCTGTCATGAAACTCTTCGTCCCCTCTATTGCATCTATAGTCCAAATATACTTTGCAATTTCCTCTATAAACCTCCAATCCTTTTCCTCAGCGTAACTATCAGCAAGCAGTTTACATACCAATTTTCAGGAGACAAATATACACATTTGTGATACGTGAAACTCAAACAAAATAAATCAAATATAAATGTGAAGTGAAGCATCATAATTTACTTTTGATCAATGATTTTCTTGGCCAACATTAAAGGAAGGCCTTGCATTTTTTGTTCCGGTGCAGAGGCCACAGATTACAAACGATCAAGAACAAAAATGGATGTATAAGAACTGCATTCGCTCGTGCCCAATTTGTAGTGTGAAATGGAGGATTTGTTGGATATCAACAACTGCAGAGAGAAGATTCTCCTCCTTTATTGGTATTCACCCAAGAGCAAAATCCAATGTAGTAAATTTATAGTATATGCGAATTTATGGGATTAGGGGAAGCTGGAGGAAGTAAAAAGACATGTAACTGAAATCAAACTATAATGCCCATGAGCAAAATCTAATGGATTCATATGTAGAACTATATAAGCCATTTAGTGTGATTAGGGAAATTATGTCTTTAACCAAGTTTAGGCAACTATTAAAAACCATTGTAATGCTAATACAGTGATTTGTTATGTATTAGCTATACATACAATAATACCAAATTAGTAATGCACAAGCTAATACTTTGCATTCTTTTTTCTAATACAAAACTAATACCAAACGATTTAACTAATGCAACATGGTCAACTCTTCCACTGTCTTCATTAATTCCTCAAATTTAACTTCCAATTCTCGAGAAATCTCTTCCTTCTGGTTCTTGCTAAGTTCTAGGAATGATTCAATCAAATCTCCATCGAGAAAGCTTTTATAATCATAAGTATTCTGCTGCTCGGAGCTCCAACTCCACTTCTCGCTGCTCAGTTCTCCCACACCCTTTATCTCTCTTCTCAAGATTGCCTGCAGCTTTCCCAAAATTGCAGACTTCTCAGGAGGAAGTGAGGCAATGAGCCCTATAACACCATTCGCTGTGCCAAATATGACGGTGGGTATTTTTTCGGAATCTGAAAACTGCATGACAAGCGAACCGTGTCGAAACCTATTAACAAATTCACCAAGGTGGTACATCCTAATCACCCCAATAGTCCTAGTCACCCCAAGAGTACATCCAAATTCATCATCCATATCATCGTCACCAAGAGTCCTAGTCACCCCAAGAGTATATTCATCATCCATATCATCGTCACTATCCACAACCCGACAATCCCTAACATGTTCCTTGAAAGTGACAATATCCAAATTATTTGTAGCAACAAGAATTGTTTCAGAATCGAGGATCTCAGCAGCTGATATCCACTTTACATCACAATCACGGGCTCGCTCCTCTAAAACACCAACACCTTTTTTTTCCTAATCATGAACGAAACATAAAAAATAAATTAAGCAAATCCACATATAGTTACAAAGAATACAAGCATAAGAAGCTGGAATTGAGAGTCAAATTGTAACTGTACTAGCTAAAACATTGAATTATTATATTTAATTCCAAAATTTTACCTTGAAAATAAGTAGAGAAATGGACTTCATCGCATCACCAACGACAATAAAATCACCACGTGTTTGAACATAAAGAGCTAGTACACGACCATGGTGTCGACATTCTGGCTGCAATTTTCGCCCTTCGCCATCCTCACATGATGCCCACTTGTACAATTGAATGTCCTCATTGATCGCAGCAAGCAGTTTCCCATTGAAGGCATTTACGGAGTAGACAGCTCCATTAGTTTCCTCCTGTGCAACTAGTTTGACTTCTCCTTCACGTAAAACTTGTAAAACTAATATTCGGCCCTGCAATTAATCATGAATGAAATAACCTTAAATAAACATAAATATCCTCAAATAAAGTTTAACAATTTATTGGAAGTGCAGAATTACAAGCATATCCGTGTTGACTTGATACATGCTTAGTTTATTAACTGAACCCACTAGGTGTGAAAATTGCTTCAAACCACGACTCCCACCACTATCAAAGGATTAATTTTCTTAAACAAAGCTACTGCTGACTTAAACCTTACAATTAGAGACACTTTTATCAATTTAACTTACCTTGGTACATTCATTTTTCTTTGGCATCATATATGCAGTCCCAACGCAATAATACACATTATCATCGTCGGAAAAGGAGCAGCTAAGTATAGAACAACCGCGCTCCAATTGGTCAAGGCTGTAAGTCGATTTGCTCTTAAATGTTTGATCATCTAATAGGCGGACAAGCCTGCCAGAGTCATCTCCATTTTCATACTTCACGCTGCATATAGCAAAAGTCCTTGACTGCTCTTGATGGCTGATGCGGAGTGCATGCTCTCCCATAAGGGGTATTGAGTGGCTGTGAAGCTTTTGTCTTTCATCAATAGTGCAAATTGCTAACCGGCCTTCTTTAGTGATTGCAAGGCTGTTGACAATGGAGAAATAGCTTTTACAGCTCTTAAGCATAGAAAATATATGACAATTCGAAGACACTGAAACTTACAACCAAAAAGATATATACTTCTAACATCATTTAATTGTGACAGATATAGAAGACACAGAAAAAATCAACTTGAATGATAGCTTGTCAACAATATATAGAAGATACTTTGATTCTTAACATGTCAACCCAGTTATAGGTGCCTGAGCTGTCAATTCAAGCTCATTAAACAGTTCAATCAAGAGAGAGATTGAAATTTCCAATAGAGTACCACATTCAACTTTTAGTTAAAGACGCAATGTTACCAGTAAAACAGAGGGAAAGGAACAAATTACCCTTTTGGAAAAGCTTTAACATTGAATGGGCACATATGGATAACGTCTTTAAGATTTACTTCGCTATAAAGTAACTTCTCATTCCAGCTCCATATAACTACAGGTCTATCGGAGGCAGCAAAGACACGTATAGCTTCTTTAGATGAGAATGTACGAAGTGTTATGGGTTGGGTCCCAAGAGACACTTTTTTCCTCTCTGTCAGCTCACCAGTAGTCATGTTCAATACAAAATGCAAGAGATGGCCATCTCCCAAGCCACATAGCAAATAGGATTTCTGAAAGAGAGAGAGAGAGAGAGAGGTTTAGAACCACAAAAAAGAGGCAAACGAACATATTAAAGGAGGACAGCACAAAACATTTCATGTATTGTCTGCTAAATTCAAAACCTTACTCCAGTATCGGTCATCCAAATCTGCTGTTATACTTTCCTTCACTGAAGAATCCAACTACACAAGTCCATTTGACGAAAAAGATGAACTGTAACCAAACTTGGAAAGTAACGTGTTCCAGTTTAGTGGCTTTCATGGAATTCTACAGCCCAGTTTGATGAACTTCCCTTTCTGTAGATTACAACAGCTTCAGGTCTTGATTTTATCCTCAGATAAATGTTTTTTTACCATCGGAAGTCTAGTCATTATCTTTTATGTACAATGCAGAAGCTATCATTGGAAATCAAGTACTACAGAAAGAGAGGGAAAGCATGAGGTACCTAACATATTATTTTATTTATTTATTTGCTTCTCTAATAAGGACCATGAGGTAAGTCATATTTTTTTACATCTGCTTTCTAAGTCATCTTATCCAATAAAGTGCGATAAGAAAGCCAGTTTGCACTTATACTTTCAGGAAGTTATTTTGATCTAAAACTATAGAGGATGTCTCGTCATAATTCATCCAGCTAAGTATCTTTATGATGGGAAAAGGACAACCTGTAAACTTCCATGAGTTCATCTCTCTCTCTCTCTCTAGGGGTAGAGGGGTGGGTAGGATAGGCGCATATCTTTTATCATATTAGCATACAGACACAGCAATGTCAGTGAAAAGGTATTAGCTAAGAGGAAGAGAAAACAAGAATACATTTTCTTTATAAGAGGGGAAGAGATACAAGAATACGTTAGGAAACAAAATTCGGTAGCGGTGCTGAAAATATGCACAATTCAACTCTCTCACCCCTTTTAAACTAATCCTCCTTGTCTTAATTTACTTTTTTTTTTTTCAAATGGGGATCGTAAATTCTTGTAGAAAAGGACAGATAAAATTGTAAATGACTTCTTCTGGTCCTTGACTAGAAGGTTGGCTGAGAAAAAAAGGGTGGAACAAAAAACGAGTTAATTAGGCTAATATAGTAACGAAACCTGAAGCAGTATTGGAAATTATAAAAGACGATTGGGCAACAGTTTAGCTATTCTAAAGGAATACAGAACGAATTAAAAAAGTAGTTGAGTAAGCCTGAGGAGATAACTGAAACTCAGAAATACTTAAGGAAGCTCAGTGATACACAGATGTTTTTATCCTGTTTATCTCAACATCCTTTTGGGATGGACTTCCAAGGACACTAGCATGATTCTAGAGCACAATTAACAAACGTGCAAATGATCACTCATGTTTGGATATAAGCCTATAACATTAAAAACTATCATAACCAATCATTAACTTCCTTTCTGAAGACACCTGCTAAGATAGCCGATAAAAAGTTCCTTATAAAAAAAAAAAAAACCCCACCTATAGCCCAGTTGTATCCCTGGTTTCTGCACAAGGCAGCCCCAGATTTGAACCCAATGCCCATACTTGTCATTCCCCAAACAGAAAATACAGTGTTGAGGCATACAGGGTTGCTATAAAGATAGAGGACATACCCCTTCGAAGGAACACATTAGAACAGAACGAGGAATTATCTCCCCTCCTAACTTTTCCTTTTTAATGAGATCCAACTCGGGAAGTGAATATATGTTGACACTTTTATCTTGCCACATTCCAACTACTGCAAATCTACTAGAGTTTGCTTTCTCACCAATTGGGTTTATGTCCAGGCACGAGACACAATAACCCGACTTAACCCTTTTTATTTCCTCCAAAAACCCGTCACCAATTTTTAGGCATACCAGAAGGTCAACACTAGTAGCCAACAGGACCTGTAAAAGGGAGAAAAAAAACTGCAAGATGAGCTAATTGGTAGAAGAGTGGATTGACAAATAATAAAGGTAATCATAACCAAAGAAAAGGAAAAGAAACTATAGCTTTCAATAAGCATCCAAAGGTGTTCATGGTCACAAGAAATCGACCATCCGCAGTGAATCGTGAATTGGTTCTAAATTGAGTAATCTAATTAATATTCTTTTGTTTTACATATTATTAGCTATTTCTGTTACTAAATAAATCGAGAAAAAAAGGTAATTCCAGCTACCTTTTAAAGTAATTTTATTATTTTAGCCTTTCACATTCTACATCACTTGAAAAAATGGTGCTCATTTACTCAAGCTTTAATAATGTATATATTTGTGAGATCTAAAGACTGTCTCTTGCAAATTATATTTTTATCTTATGAAGCAAATCATGAACTCATTCTTGTTCCACAGACTTAAATAGTCTGTATTAGGTAAGATTATGCAGGTCCTACTTTATGTTTAATTTTTTGAATCAGGAAAACTGTCACCCATTTGCTTTATACAATAATTCATAGCATACAAAACAAACAACAACAACAACAACAACAACAACAACAACAACAACAACAACAACCCAGTATAATCCCACTAGTGGGGTCTGGGGAGGGTAGTGTGTACGCAGACCTTACCCCTACTCTGGGGTAGAGAGGCTGTTTCCAAATGACCCTCGGCATCCTTCCCTCCAAGAACACCCCACCTTGCTCTTGGGGTGACTCGAACTCACAACCTCTTGGTTGGAAGTGGAGGGTGCTTACCATCAGAGCAACCCACCTTGTCTTTGTAAATGACATCAGAGCATACAAAACAAACAAAGATATAAATTCCCTCTATAGTAAATGACATTTGTAAAAGACACAATCACCAGTCCCCTTTAGTTGACAAAGCCCCCAGATCAACAAGGAGCATGGCGAATTTACTTATATACTCAGACTGAATATTGCATTCTTGTAATCCATCTATTATGTGGAGCAACGTATGGATGCTTCTATCTTTGTTAAGATGTTCTCTAACTTGAATCTATTCTTTTATCTTATAATCTATGATACTGATTGAAGAAGATACCACCTCGGACCTTGCATAGCTTGGAAAGACAGATGTAGCATGTGTTTTGAAGACCATAGCTCACCCATTTTGCCTAAACTTACATGTTCCACCGAGGTTAAGTTTTTTTTAATAAGATGCACAGAAGTTAAGTTTTTCATGTCATGACTTTTATCTTATTGTAACTTTTTGTGGACTTCATAGATTCTCTACACAATTAGGAGGAATCTGAATCCTTTTGCTGTACATCTTTCTTAGCACAACTTCTTTGATTGGTATGAGAACCTTTCTAAGTACAATTAAATGAACGTTTTCACATAATTAACAAAACGAGCCTATCAAACTGATGATGTATGTTGCACGTTGTTCATTACGAATGTATAAAGTTCACACAAAGCATGTTCTTTGTCTACTAATTTGAACTTTTCATATACAAAGAGACAATTGTGTTGTATTGTTCTTAATCAAAACTTCCTTGTCTCATTTCCATGTCAGTATCCAACACTGTGATGCTGCCACTTAGCTTTTTCTCCTTGTTTCTTGATCACTAACAGAGATTCACTTTCAGTTCAGACAGCCATATTTTTTGTCAAAGACAGTGCAGTCTAGTTGGAAACAAGATCTTCTATGGTAAAATAAACCACTAGAAGGTAAAAAGAGCTGATTTTACTGATGCATAAGTATATCGCTATGGATAGAGAGGTCGCAAATATGGTGGAGAAAAGAATGGTCAAGGAAATTGGATTTTCCGGTGTCAAAATAAAAAATCGATATCATAACCTATAGAGGACCGTACAGTTTAACTGATGAATTCCAGTTTGAAATAAGTTATGCATTTTGTATAAGTTCTATGAGCACAACTAAAGAATCAGCACTATAAAAAATCAAAGTATAGCTTTCTTTTTCTAAGTCACCTTTAATGGTTATTGCAATTAAAACTATAACGAAAAGCGTAATATCTGGGAAAGTATACTTCTGTTCAGATACTTTTGTTCAGTACGCATAGAAGCTGTCACTTTAAGCCATGGATAAATGCAAGAGCAAACCTGAGTGGCGTTAGCAGTTGCAACAGTCAACGAGCAGCTATCTGGAGCAAACCATTCGTCTATCAGATCTCTAGAGGTAGAACTGACCAATCTTACAGAATTTGGAGTAACCTGCATGGCAATTTATGCGCAACTGTCTATTGAATACAGATATTATTTAATAGATTTCAGTTAATGAAAATGTTTTACCCCAGGAAATCAGTTTACGATCATTATGCACTATAGTCTACAAAGAAATGGAAGATTACTCGTCAAATAAAGACAGAGAGAGACAGAGACAGACGGAAGTATTGGAGGATTCTGGTTTCTCAAATTTAACTCTCTATGAAGCTAATAGGACATATTAGCCATAATTAGTCGCAGTAACTGACAAAGCCCCATCTCAAGTATGACAGCACAAAGCCAAATGTGCTTGTTCCAATAGAGACTCTCTGTCTCTCTCTCACACACACACATCAAACAAAAGCACATGATAACAAAACAAGATTCCTGACAGCTTAAGAAACATGTAAAGACACATTTGAACTTTGCTAAAAGTTACCCGCACAAGCTGACGACTAATGTAACAAAAAGGAGACAACTTTAAGAAAATAACAATTGCAGCGGAAAGATGTGGCAAATCTTCAAGATTATCTGTTACTGCATCCGCATTACACACCAGAAAGAGTACCAACAAGAAGTAGTGGAGACCACTGAACTCCAGAGAAGGAAAGTGGTAGTTTCACAATGTAACCCACAATTGATATTTTCTCTAACCTAGTCTCTACTGGCTACTTAAAATTTATAGATCTTATGAACTACTTCTCCGCATTTCATACCGGCAAAGTCGCGCCCATTAATCAAAAAGGAAAAAGTTAGTAACTTATCAATTGCATATAGACACTAAAGTATACAAACCCACAATCAGATCTATGTTATTAAATCACAATTTTGATGGATTTATACTTACATCTTACTCAGAAGTTCTGATTCAATAAGATGATCTACTTAGCACAAGGCATACCTGTACAAGCTGATTGTATACAGCATCATGACAAAACAAGGTCTGGTCTTCAGAATTGAAACCCTCTATCAGAGTTTCTCCCAGCACAGACTCAGAGTCCACTTCTTCCAGCACAGAGTCCATTTTAAAATACCTTGTCGAACGAATGAAGCTAACAACTAAGAATGTATCGTATGAATCATCAGTAGCTGAACGAAGGGACCACATTCCTCTGATCCCTTCTAGCTCCGCAGACGCCTACAAGTAGCATTGGCATATAGATTGAGCTATTGTAGCACTTAGAATAAATAATAAAACATTAGCTGAAAATAACTTAGATGACAAGACCTGTTCATGTAATCCAATTGCACTACGAACAATACGAAGCGAGCCATCCTTATAAGCTCCAGAGCAAGCCACAACCTGACTTTGACCTTGCTTCTCCAGGTCAACAACACAGAAGTCACCAATAGGTCCCAAATTGACATAACTCTTTACAACTTCCACAGAAGAGACTCCATTGTCGTGCTGGAGATTCAGCTTTACTAGCTGAATGAGAATTGAAAAATATTAGTGGAACAGCGAAAGTTAAAACATGTCCTAATATTAAGCACCAAAGGAAACAGCATAACCGAAGTTTAAACCTCAAGCTACAATGAATCAAAGTCTACAATAATGAGAATTACGGCAAGCAATCTCTCAGAAACCAACTTATTGCACCAATATGCACTCATATAACTAACCAAGGGTCATGAGAATTTCAGAAAATATTGCAACGATGACAGAGCAGATCGAACTCTTAATAATGTTCTCACCAACCAATACTTGTTAAAACTATTCTGACCTCTTAGCAACGAGAACCTCCTTTGACTTTATGGTGTTAAGTAAGCATTGAAGTACAACAAGTGCCCCAAAGATGGATAGGATACAGCAAATCAATTTGTTTCATAAGAAAATACTACAGCTTTCACAATGCAATCTATTTGAGAGGGTTAATTGTAAGCAAAATGCTTCATAAATCAGGAGTAACATGAACCCTTTAACAAGTTAGTTTTTTAAATACCCCTCCATCTGATGAGATGAGGTCTAACATTCATATTACAATAAAATATTAGTTATATTCAAGCGGTAAAATCTCTAAGCCGATTGCAGTGAAATAGCTCATAAATATACATGCATATACATAACTCAGAAAAAAATTAGAGCACAAAGGAAGGACATTATTTTAGAAGGCCGACAATAAAAATTCATAGGAAGAAAAAGATCCATATAAACAATACCAACAAGTCCAGATTAAGACTTAATTTTGTTGATATGCTCACATTTGTCCAATATTTGCTAGATGTTAAGATATTTGTATGGGAGTAGAAATTGCAGATAGCGCCAAGGTTAAAGGACCTGATTCATAGAATACTGAAAGGTGGGGGTATAAATGAAGTGAAATGGACACTGATAATTCATCAAAAACGGCCTCAACTAGCTATGGTTTGAGGCTTAATTGTTGTTATGTAATGGCATATCATTAATATACCTATCTCGCCAAAATAAAAGGCACAATTATAATTCAATTCAGGGAATCACATATAGAAAGGAGGTGTGTGTGCGTATATATATGTATAAATTCCTTTTAAACCACAAGACAAATCAAGCAATCTTACTTAAGGATAAACTTTCACATTAGCTTAAATTTTAAGGTAACAGTTTAAAGTACCTGTGAATCTCCATAGCTTGAGCCAATATAGACAAAAGAGTCACATAGATATGAAATGGTTGATGCAACAGAAGTTTCTTCCAAATGATTGATTGTGACTCTGGTAACTCTGGAAAGAAAAGAATATGTCCGTATTAAACATTTTATTCCCAGCAACTAAGCAAAGATGCATTTAACAGCAACTCAGCAAAAGTAGAAAAGACAAAGTGCAGAAAAAGCTGACTCACTTCTTCTTTTCATGAGTGATTACAAGTAGGTGAAGACGCCCAATACGATCCCCAAGCAAATACCGATAAGCATCAACTTGCCCATATGTTCTTATAGACTTGAATGAACAAACAAAATATTAGTAAGACAATATCTCATTCAGTATTTAATTAACAGCTTCATTGATAACAATTAATTAACAGGTTTTAAAGGGTTTATTTAGGCCAAATACGCTAGTGGAAATGCCGGTTGTATAAGAACACAAAGAAAATTAGTAAATTATACATGTAAGCCACGTCCAATTGGGTAAGTATCATTAACAGCTGAAGCGTCACAGTAAACAATGGCTTTTTCTCCAATAATCAGTACACCACACAGTGGCTGAGATACTGGTATTAGCAAAGAAGCTCCATTATCAAGATTGTTCAGAGCCCAAAGAAACTTTCTGCGTTCAGTAAGGCGGTCATCCTCCAAGGGCACCTCATATGTTTTGACATACCGGGCATCATTGTTATCCTGCCAGTCAAATGTCAGGTCCAAAACAAGCATCAGAATCAAGTAATTAACCTCAGAAAGAAGACACCACCATGGCAGTTGGGCAAATGAATCCCCTTGGTGGGTTAAAACCCCCTACAACAGCACACCCAGTGTAACCACAAATGGGGCTTAGATGGGTTGAAATCCCCTCCCCACCCACACCCGCCAAATTTATTTATTCTTAAAAAAGAAGGGAATAAACAAAGTGCACAATGTCATTGCATAAACTAAGTGCTAACGACATATCGAGGAATTTTAGGCACTAATTAAATTTCCTGATGAAATGAAAAAATCTTTTACCTAAATTAGCAAAGAATTAAAATGGTAACGTATGTATCATGACTATATTATTATTTGAAATGACAGACCTGATATAGAACAACAATTGTAGGGTTTTGGCAACCATACAAGAATTTTAGATCCAAAGCTTGAGGCTCAAACCTGACAAAAACCACAAAATAATGAACTATCAGTCAAAGAAGAATAGCTCCCATGATCAACATCATGAGATCCCAGGTGAGACAGAGTCGGAACCACGACTATTCAGCAATCCTCCTACATAGAGAATAGGATATACTTCTTAGAAGCATAATTTACATACACGGTCACTACCAAGAGATATGTAGGTTGGTTGATACACAAAATGAGGTCACATCGGGTGTATTTAAAGCCCTTCACCGTATAAAATGATACAGTCCAGAAAGAATTTCACTTTCTTCGCCTCAAAAAGGAAACGTTAAAGAAAGAGAACTCGAAGTGCAGCACAACAAATTTTAAAAAACTGAGGAAAGAGCAGTCCAGTAGTCCTTGTAACTTTTCATCTACAGCTTCAAGTAGGT